ATACTAAATTTGTATGTAATTTACTTATTTTCTACTTGTTTCTACTGGACACTACAATGTTATGAATTGGCAATAAATATCCTAGAGAACTATTAGATACAAGCTTATAAGACTTATTCAGTCTCCTGGTTGTCTCATAAAGCTGTTTCTTCTATGTTTTTCAATTTTTATCAATTAAAAAACACTAATAGTTTTGTTTCCACGACACAATCTTAAAACCTTTGCCCAGGAGGAACAACTTATAATTATGAATTTCTTTTTGCATATTTGAGTTCTCCATATTCCAAAGCACCTACTGATAATTTCTTGAGATGATCTCACAAGTATTCATACAGATAATTCCAAATGTATTTGGTTTTCTACTCGTTGCCATGGTTGAGCCGCATCCCGGTGAGGAGCCGTATCCCCGCAAAGTACGTTAACCAACGATGATATGATACGATTTAGGGCCCGTTTACCTAACAGTTATTTTCTGAAATTTGTATTGTGGGGTTTGACGGCGCCGTCAGCACGGGTTATGCTGTAACAGACGGTGCCAACTGCGTTTATCTAATTTTTCAACCGTCGTCGACTACCTTCGTTCCTTACATTTTTTTTTTGGATGGCTCCTTGACAGATTTGGACTATTGTGTCGAAGCAAGTGAAGAAGTGCTACTAGAAGAGAGACATGAGGAGTCTTTTGCTTGCAAGCTGCCATTATAGGTGGTAATTAGGGGGTAGTTGGGCCTGAGATTTTAATCGCTCTGAAATTGTGGAAAGGGTGAGCAAGTTTGGAATTAGGAGATGATAACCCCCACCTTGGGTCATGTTGTAAAAAAATTTGATTCACGCTAGGACGGTGCAATAGACGTTGCATTAAGCTAGGCACCCCTGATGCCGGCCACCCAACGAACATCAAGTCAATCCCACGAACCTGATCTTTCCACAACAACAAGTAAGTAAAATTACATTAAATAATTCTGAACTATTAAACCTGCTATTGTGACATAAACTGCTGCATATCAGCTGCTATGAGTGCAGAAGAGGTTCACCTTGCCTCTTCCTCTGGTTTTCTAGTGTGAATCTGGGCTTCCTGCACTGCCGTCTCCTCTATAGCCTGTTTAATACTTTTGATATTTACAAATTGAAGATTAGGGTCCACAGGAACCTTCTTTTTCTGTCGCTTATCTTCCAACTCTTTCAATCATTGCTGTAGTTGTTGATTCAAGGCTTGAATAAATGCATATTGGGTCATAAGGTAACTGAAGGCCTTACTTGTCTTGTTCCAGACAGTTCTGAGATCTCTGATCATATCTCCAGTGGCTTCTAGGGATTTGATGGTACAGTAGAGATCGTCAGGGTGAGTTGGAGTATGAAATGAGTCATGGGATGGCAGAGGCATACTATAAACTATACGTAATTGCTTGGGAGTTTGAGGAGGCTCCGGGTCAGAGATCAGATCAGAGGTTGGTCAGTTGAGATAGACTTGGAATGAGTTTAGGGCCTTCTTGGGGTTCCAGGGAAAGAGTCCTACTGCTTTCCAGCCAATATGTAGATACCGAGGACTTGAAGATTTCTTCCTGTGCCTGTTAATAGTATTGCACGAAGTGCCTCTTTTTCACTAGAGCAGCATCATCATATTGAGCAAGTTCCATAATACACTTGTGATAATATGACTTGAGAGGAGCAAAAGTACCAAGATCCAGAGGCTGAAGGATATGACTGGAGTATGCAGGTAGGAATAAAAGCTCTACATTATCCTGTTGGCATTCCCAAAGAAAGTCAAATTGGGTATGACTCCCATGCCCATCCAGAATTAACATTCATTGGTGTGGTATACCCCAGCGATTGGCAGTACTGGGAATCGTTTCAGCTAGAAAGACCTCATGGAGCCATCTCATCACAATTTCATTTGTCGTCCATCCTGTCACGAACTATGACTAAGCAAGGCAGATTTCACATAGCTCGGATTTCCGAGTCATAGATATGTTGGGATTTCACATGATGCACACTAGTGCGCCATAGGTTATTATGTTTACCTGTTCGTGACTCACAGTTGTGAGTTACACGATGTTATGATTTTCGCACATGACTCATACTTATGAGTCATGGGTTTTACTCAGGTGATGCGAGTTGCGCACCTGACTTGGTTATTATGTTTTGATTGGTTTAGGCATATTGCGCAGCGACTCATAGGAGTCGTCTGATGGATTTCATATGACTCATGGTCATGAGTCACAGGGTTCGCATGACGCGAGAGGTGAGTCACGCCAGGTGAAGAGCGACTATATAAAGGGTCACTAGGACCCTGAGTATGAGCTCTTCATACGTTCTTCTTGTTTATTTCCTACCTTCAAGTTATTATCAATGAAACCTACCTTTACGCTCTTTAAGATTTATCTTAAAAAATCCGAGAATTGTCTTTCCTCTCAAGCAAGAAAACTATTTCTCCTCTCACGTCAAACGACTAAGTCCTAAATGAAGGACTA